CCAATCTTAATGCGCACCGGCATTTACGGCGACGTCGGCCGATATGGCAATTAACGAGCAGAACGCTCTCTCCCTGCCCCTCCCTCTGTCGCGCGCGCTCCCGCGCGTAAAAGAGACACGCGCAGGGCGTAATTGACTCACGCTAACGCGCGCGAGGTATCCCGGCCGTCGGAGGAAGTGATTTCGTTATCGGATCAGCCGGACGACCGGCCGACCGCTCGAGAGAGAGGAGAGAGAGAGAGAGAGAGAGAGAGAGAGAGAGCGAGCGAGAGAGAGAGAGAGAGAGAGCGAGAGAGCGATATACCTCTCGATCGTTCCGCCGCGCGCCGGCGGGCTCGACTCTCCGCTGGAGCTGCGGGAAGAAAGACTCGCCTCTCGGAGCAGATCGATAGCCGGCTATTTATCTTGGCGGCAATATCCGCGAGGTCATCCGCGCGCGGCCCCGACCACACGCACGCGAGATGCGCGTACGCAAAGGAGCGCGCGGCGACGAGCGTCCGCGTTTTCTCGAGCCGCGCGCGGGCCGGTCCCGCGGCGGGGCCCCGTGAGGAGGGCCCAGTTAGCAAAGTACGCGGGCGTTCAGGCCGGCCGTAAACAATGGTTTTAGCGAGTGCGTATACGCCATGGCCGCGCGCGTCGAGCAGCCGGAGCTGCGCTGCTGGCCGACTCCCACGGTTCGCGCAGGGACGAGTCCTCGCTCGCTCTGTCCTTCTCTCTCTCTCTCTCTCTCTCTCTCTCTCTCTCTCTCTCTCTCTCTCTCTCTCTCTCTCTCTCTTCCTCGGCGAGTCTCTCTGAGGCTGGTCTTTACGCGTACTTTGGCCGTCCACGACTCACCCACTTTGCTTTACTTAAGGCCGTTCGGGGCCTAAGCCGTCGGCCGTCGCCGCCGCCCCCGCCGCCCCCCGCGCGCCGGGCGATCATCGTCTGCCTCTTACCTGACGTTTACTCGCCGGCGTACACTCGCTACATTCCATCCTCCATTAGGAGAGGGCCCGCCGCGCGTTGCTGGTAGCACGAGCCCGTGAGAGAGAACTAGAGAGAAAGAGAGAGAGAGAGAGAGAGAGAGAGAGAGAGAGAGAGAGAGAGAGAGAGAAGGATGGGAAACCGCGACGAGGGACGAGCCATCATCGGCGATCAGCCAAACGTCCGGGAAGAAAAGTCAGAGAGCCTCATCTCGGCTCTCCTCCGCCGCGCCGCGGGAAAAAGGCCACGCTCGGGAAATTGAGAGAGCGTAATCTCGACTCGTTTCTTTGCCCGCCTGAAATTGACACCCGTTCCCGAGCGGGAACGCTCGAGTGGCCGAGACGGGTCGGGACTACCCCGCGCGGAGTGGGGGATGATCGCCCCCGGAGGAAGAAGCGGCGACGAGCCGCTCGGTCCGCCGTTTCGCGGAATTCGACGCAGATCAAACAAACGACGACGCGTCGTTCTCGCGCCCATCGATGATCAGACTCGTTGCCACGGAGAACGATACGAAAGAGGGAGAGAGAGAAAGACAGAGAGAGAGAGAGAGAGAGAGAGAGAGAGAGAGAGAGAGAGAGAGAGAGAGAGAGAGAGAGAGAGAAAGAGAAAGGGAAAAAGCAGCGAGGCAACGCCCGGCCGGGGAGATGCTCGCCGGTCCGCGGGCGACTTCCTCACGCAAATGAAGGCCTGTCGGCCTTTTAATCGCCCAGGGAACACAAAGGCGCAGCACGCTCCTCCGGCCGGTGGACAGTCGTTGACCGCGGCCGTTTCCCGCCGTCTCTCGCTCTCCCACGCGTCATGAGATCCGCGGATGTAAAGCGGCGGAACGCGGGAGCTGCTTCGAATTTCACGGATGGCCGGCCCGGCCCGATGACGACCGCTGCAACCGAGCCGCGCTCTGTCTTTCTCGACCAAAGGGGCGATTTTTCTCCCCCTCCCCTCCGCCCTCCCGCGCCAGTTCGCGCGCCGATGTTATGCATTCGCGGAACGCGCGCAGAGACCCTCGCCGTCGCGGAAACAGACGCACGCACGGGGGCGGGGGGGAGGGAGGGAGGGAGGGAGGATGTTCCCATGAAGGTATCGCGCTGCGGGATTAATCGGAGCCAGGTGGAATGAGAAACGGAGCGAGCTCGACGTTGTCCTCGCAGTTGGCCGGCGACGTCTCTCCGCGACTCCTGCGGCTCGCCGTGGCGGCAGCTGGGACACGCGGCCGTCGGCGACGTCGCTGATCCCGTCGGGCTCGCGGCAGTCGGGTCGGGTCGCGGCTGAAATGACGCTCCATTCATCCTCTCATTCATCCGAGGGTTCCCAACGCGGCTCGCCGCCGCAGCCGCAGCCCCGTCGCTGCGGTCGTCGCCGCGCCGCGCCGCGACGTAATAAGCAAAAAAGGCGAGCCGGCCGGGCCATTACGTAGGAAAGGAACGAAGAAATTATCTGCTAGGCGCGTAAAAAGCGTGGCAAAGGCAATTCCATCCGCGCGGTGCTTGGGCCAGCTTGAGAGACTCATTTTTGTGCGCGTCGGCCGCTGTGCCGCGCGCGCGCGCGCGAGGATACACTTTCTCGCCGCTCGCGCGAAGCGCACCAGGCGCTTTCCACCTGGTGGGACTTTGTCTACGGTGTATTCTTGCACCATCGCGCGCACGCGCTCCGCTTCGCTCCGCTCCGGTCCGCGCGGCAGCGGCAGCGGCCGCGAGTCACTGACCGAAAATTCGTGGCCGTTGCGCGCGCGACGACAGGCCAGAATCCTCCGCCTCGGCTGCCGCGCAAGAAGCGTCGACCGCGACGGATCAGCCGATGACGACGAGAGAGCGAGAGGGGGAGAGCTTTCCCTCGAGCATCGAGCTCGTGCGAGATCTCGCGCAAGCCGAGAGAATGACTCGGTTTCTGTCTGATTTCAGAAGGCGACGAGGACCTGAGCGGACGCCTCGTCCTCGCACTCGGCGACGTGCTGTCCGGGGTAGAGGAGGGCGGCGGGAGGAGAGGGTTGGACGGAGGGTGGCGTGCTATGATCAGCATGGAGCTTCCGGCCCACGCGACGCAGCATGGTGCTCTACACCTGGGGGTCGGGGTCGGGGTGAATCCAGGTGACCCAGCCGGAAGTGCCCTAGCCGCCATTCATCCGCATCCCCAGGACCCCCTAGCCCTCCACCATCACAATCACGGCGCTGCGACAGGCGGAGGTATGCATGAGGACTCCAAGAAAAAACGTATGTTTCTTCTTACGAATCCTTTGAGCCTCTGTTATTACGTAGAGCGTTAAGGCGATGGTCGCAGGAGCGTGAGGGGGTGTTTTCATGTCCCCCGCGCGAGGAACGCGAGGAGGCTCTCCCGATCGCGGAGAAGCATCGCGACTGGTCGAATCTTGCTCCTGCGACGATCCACATCTCTGCTTGACCGCGGTTCCGCCGCAGCGCGTACTCTGCGCTACTTTCCACGTTTCTCTTCCGTCTCTTCCGGGACTACCTGAAGCCCCTCGTCGATGTTGGCGTATCAGTTCCCGTCTCCCCCCCGCCACCCGCAGATCTCCTGCCCCCGCCTGTTCCGCGCGGCTTCTGCGCCGCCGAGCCTCTGAGTCGCTCGCGCTCGCAACCGCCGATTATTATCCCGTCTGCCGAGGTCTCGCGAGGATGTTTGTTCCCGACATCGGGAACAGGACGGCAGTCTGACAATCTCGAGTCCCCGGCGCGGCGCGGCGCACAGCCGATCGGAATGTCGCGCTCGCAAAAAGACGCGCGTGCGCACGCGGCACGTGCCTCTCGCAAAGTAGCCGCGATCAATCTTCGTCCGCGCGGTGACGCTTCTATTACCGGTCCGCGCGCGCGCGCGATGACGATGCATCACGTTCGCTGAGTCAAGCTGGAATTCAGGAATCCGTCGAATGCACTTTCCGATGCGTTCGCGCGCGCGCGTCGGCTTCTCCGGCCGGCGGCGGCGTGTTGCGCCGCGTCTCCCGCGGTTTCTTCGCTGGAACGGTAGCGCGACTTCCAATCACGCGGCGATAACGACTTCGTCCTGTAACTCAGCCGGGTCCACCGGGTCGCGATTCGGTCAGCAAACGCCTTTGGCGTTTGGTCAGAATGAAAGCTGCTCTTCTCGATGTTTCGCTGGGTGTTTCGCGAGCGATCGTGAGGAGGGTTGTTTCGCGCAGCGAGGCGCAGGGTGGGCCAGTTGAGGCGAAGAAATGCAAATTCCTTCGGGAAGAAGTGCATTTTATTCGAGGAGGAAGCCTCGGACAAAAGTTGTCTGACTTGAGCGAAGTTGACCTCGCCGAGGTCAGCTTTAAAGGTGAAGGTTAACTTTAATTCTGTGAGCGGAATTGTGCTTGACCTTGCCAAAGTCATGTAAAGGATAGTTCTACGAGCGGATTTGCATTGTTTCTTCAACTCGGTGCCTCCGCTTATCCCGCGTAGTCGAGGTGAGGAAATGCGAATTCTTCGACGCTGATATTTAAGTGTAATATATTAAAATATCTTTATTTCGAAAAGTTTTACTTTCTTGGTTTTCTTTTTTTGTTTTTAATTTGTCTTGTAATGTCGTGTCATATTTAACACAAATTTATCTTTCATGTGTATTTACATTTATGTTAAGTGGATTTTTGTAAAATGAAGGCTGTTTTCAATTTCCGCTCGAAGAACGCTCCAAACTTCAACGTCGTAAATTCTTCGGGAACAAGTGCCTTTTATTCGAAGAAGCAAAGTTGACCTTGCCAAGGTCACACAAAGATTAACTTTTTCTTCAACTCGATCGGTTCCTCCGGTTGTCCCGCGTAGAATACTTTGCAAGATACGTGGCAAGTTACATCCTGATGCTTCATTTTCCGCGTCGCGCGCGCGAGACGTCACGACCCCGGCGGAGAGTCCAAGGGAAACACAATCGTCTTCCCTACGTCTATCGAATAAAAGTGTGAGGCTGACGTCTCGTCGCAACGAGCGATTACCCGACTAGAAATTTATCGCATGGTCCTGATCAGGTTAACCTCATTTGGACATCAGGTCCCAATAAGGTAATACTATCCTAGGTCCTAGTAAGTCATGTAACGCAGCGTGGATATCAGGACCTTAGTAAGGATTCACAGTCAGGTCCTTATTGAGTTACCTTATGGAATCCTTATTACGTTTTTTCTTTTTTTCAAATTATAGCTCCTGATTATCCTCGCCACGGCTATATTGAATGATGACATTAGAAATAAGAAATGTCACGCTGAAAATTCTTTCATGTCATTTCCAAATGAAAAGATACTCGCATGAAATAATATTTTAGATCGCTTGAGCATACTCGTCAAATGTTTCGGAAAAGAAACATAAAATGTATATCATAAGATCATAAAGTATCACAAGGTGACAAGACATAAAGTAGTGTTAAAGAGAAAAGTTGCATGTCGCGTTAATTTTACAGCTATTTATTGACCGCTAAAAAAAAGGATAGCTTCTATAGCATTTTACAAATATATTCAAATGATCCGCAGTGTTTTTTTCAATGCAAACATCTTTATATTTGGAAATGACACCAAAAATTGTTTCGTTAAAACTTGATAATGCAAATCATATTAGGTAGAATGAACAAGGACCTGATCAACTGAACCATATTATATCATACACCAGGTTGGTACATTAAGGTCCTAATGTGGACCCAATCGTTATAACCTTATAAAGGTTACTCATTTGTCGTTGGGACATTATAAGGACTGACTTACTTAGGATTACCTCTCATTCACCCTATTAGGTCCTCGTCAATGTTAGATGAACCTGATGAAAATTTCTAGTCGGGTACTCGACGACGCAGCGGCCCAGCTCGCCGTCACCTCCCGTCGTCGTCGCAATTTCGCTGCAAGTCGGGAGCTTATTAAATCCCCGCGTCTCGAGACGGCTCGCACATCCGGCAGAGCGACGTTACGTGCCGAGGGACACCGCGAGCGATGATTCCTCCGCCGCGGCGGAGAGCCGCGGAGAACGAGACTCTCGCGTGAAAGAGCTCCTTGTTCCGTACGGGAACAATCGAGTTAGCCCAAGTTGCCCGGCGCACACGGATCCTTTCCACGCACACACACACACACACACACGCGCGCGCGCGCGCGTCAAGATCGACCTAGGGGAGTCCAGGTAGTTCTACTTTGGTGGGCGCTTTGTCGCACACAGCGACATTTTTCACAACGCGCGTTCGTGAGTCCACACGTGAGACGCGCGCGCGCAGGCGATGCACGTGAGGATCATCTTGGAAGCGGTAGTTTCTTCCAACGGTTACCTACGTCGATGTATGGAAGCTCGTCCTGCCCGCGAACGTGTGTATGTGTGTGTGTGTTACTATGTGTGCGCGAAGAGAGCGGAGCTGGTTAAGGAAGATGAAAGGCTGCCGCCGTGGCGGCGGTGACACGGCATGAGCCACAAGGCTTGGCGGCTGGGAGGGAGGGCGGGGGAGGGGGGGGGAAGAAAGAGAGAGTCAACAGGGGTCGTTAAATCTAATGATATCGGCTAATTGACGGAGAGACAGAGAGCCGCGCGCGCGCGCGGATCGGTTTAGGGCCACACGCGTGCGTGTCCTGAGATGCCGTCGACTCGCCCGCTGGCTTTCTATTTTTCCCCCCTCCCCGCTCGTCGACCGCGCGACAAATATGTTTTTAATCGCGCCCCTCGAAATTACCCCGGCCACTTTTGCCCGCCGATTATCCCGATTATCTCTAATGGCGCGTAACTACGCAGCTAACATTAATTAGTAACTAATGCGGAGCCGCGCGTGTCGGGAGTTTATACAGTTTATCGATAATTATTTCGTACGACTCTCTCTTGGTAAGGGGGAGGGAGGGAGGGAGGGAGGGAGGGAGAGAGAGAGAGAGAGAGAAATCGGACCACCGCCGAGTTCACCGGGCCGCTTTGTTTCGATTTCGCAGTCGTGACTAATCGCCGCCGTTCCGTCCGAATCCTTCCGAGAGAAGCTCGCTCATCGACCGCTCATCGGCGGCTCAGCGTCGAAATGGCCGCTTCTTTTCCGCTAATCTCCGGAGACGAGAGCGATTTTCTAGAGGCGAGATCGAGGCGTGACGCGAGCCCCTCGCTGAAACCCGAGCGACGTCTCGTTTTCGAATGAGATTACCGAGGGAGAAAAAAGGCTCAGCCCGGACAAGTCGACACCCACGCCTTTCTCCGACACCGATTATTACGCGTCAAGCCGATTTACACATACACACACACACACACACGCACACACGGGATATGCAAGTGCAGCTCGGTGCGTTTCACCGCTCGGCGCGGACGACGTATTCAATAATTCATATCGATATCCGACTTGATATTCAAGAATACGGTAGCGCTGCGTGAAACGACTCGCGGCAGCCTTCGTGAGATAACAGCCTACATCCTTCGCGGGAAAAGGAACTGAGAAATAACGAACTCGCGAGAGAGAGAGAGAGAGAGAGAGAGAGAGAGAGACCACCTGCACACGTCGCGCTCGGTTCGCGCGAGCGGCGAACCGATCGCTCGGATCGCCGCGCCGCCTCCGGCTCGCCCGATTCGGCGATCCCGATGTCGCAGGCGGCATGAGATCTCCCGAGCTGTGATAATCGACATAGCAGGCCCCGGAAAAAAGAGGACTCGCGAGGAAGCGTCCTCGCACGGCGCGGCGCGCGACGGAGGATTAAACGCGCGCCATTATCGGCCGGGCCGACACATGGCGGGCTTTAATCTCGCCAGGCGAAAGTTATTCTTTCCGCTGGACGGACGCGCGGATCGCTCATGGGGATTCCCATCGCGCCAACCCCGCAACGCAGAGTGACTGGCAGCATCTAATATATTTCGCACCGCGCGCGTGTGCGTGTGCGCGCGTCCGCCGAGACGCGCCGCGCCGCGCCGCGCCGCGCCGCGGATAGGCCTATATAGGAGAGGAAGAGAGCGCGATCTCTCGGGGTGAGAGATAGCGGCGGTTATTTATGGGGTTAAATAAAGGAACAGCGCGCGATCGCACGATACCAGGTCCGAGTACAAATAGGTTGCCGTGCAGGTTGCTATCGTGGACGCGCCGCGCGACTCGTCATGATCCGCGCCCGGCAACGCCGAGTCCTCGCCGAACGCGATGCCAGCCAGAAGGATCGCGCTCCCCGCGAGAGAGAGAGAGAGAGAGAGAGAGAGAGAGCCGGTCTCCTGCGCTTTCGATACATGCGCATATGCGTGTTTTGTTTATTTGCCCGTTTGTTTGTTTGTTTGTTTGTTTGTTTGTTTGTTTACTCGCTCGCATGCCCCGCCGTGATGCGCCTCGCGGCGAGCGAAGGCCAGCGTCTCCACGTGGATCGCTTTGTCGCAAATGTGGCCCCCGCACTCCCCCCCCCCGGCGTCAACGTGGAAGACGCTCCGTTTGTGACACTCTATGCGGTTTTTAAATACTCTTGCTTTCTTCCCGCGGCGTCCGAGCAAAAAATTGTTAGGACCGTCCTCATGAAGCATGAGGCCTCGATAAGGCTGAAAGTAGGATGCCCTAAAAAAGGATGTCTCATTATTACCATATCAGGCCTCGAGATGATTCTCATCTGGGGATGCCTTAGAAATACGAAATAACGCTTTAACATGGGAAACCGGATGTGGCCCTTAAAAGGATCTTTTAAGGAAGGTTCAGGTATACAAAATTAAGTTTTGTTTTAGAAAATTAATAAGATCTGAAGTGAGTAATAAAATCGTCATAGTTTAATTTTGTTTTAGCAGGTACGCTCTGTCTGGTTCTTTTAAAGATTTTTCAATTATATCGCGATTGAAAACAAATTTTATCAGTTTTATTAGTTGCCATGTTCATTAGTCTCTTCCATGGATTTTTCCAGTATTGCCTTCGTTTCGAAATGCAGTAAATTTTAATGAAAACAGTAGCAGGATTTTTATGCGTAAAGAATGCTGCATTTTATCGTAAAGTATGCTATATTTTTGAAATAAAAAATTCTTGTCACATACTAACAAAATTATAAAGAAATTAAGAAATTACAGTCTAAATTTCACGGAATGGAAAGAAGGAATATCGTTCATAAATTTCATGGAATGAAAAGAAGGAATATTTTTACGCAATAATAAAAATATTTCCTTATAAGGCTCTATTGGTATTGCCTTATAAAGACCATCTGTTACACATCTTGCAGGGCCCTTATCTTACTATCCCTACCAGGGCCCGATTAATCTTAGAGAAACATAATCAGGCCCTTACCAGAGCCCTATTAATTTCTCTACTCGGATAACGCGTCGTGCGGAGATCGACGGCGGGGGGTACTTTCGCGTCGTTTCTGACATCCAAGCGACGCCTGCGAAGCTTCCAACGCACGACTGGGCGAAGCGCGACCCGCGCAGATGCGTATTTACACAATCGTTACTCTTGCATCAATTCTATGATTTGCGATTTGGAAAAATCGCCGAAGTTTTGCCGCTCTCCCGCTTGGAGCGAAGGAAGCGTCCTTCCACCTTTCCAAGCAGAAGTCGCCTGGCTTTCGGGAAATCCAGGCTGCGAGGCATTTTCCACGCGTAGGGAAACGCTTCGATTAGCATGTAGCTCGTCGGATCGAATAAAGAGGGCGGGGGGGGGGGGGAAGAGAAGAGCGCATGCTCGCGATTCGGCGGTAATCGCGGCGGAACGGTCTTGCCGCGGCGCCTCGTCGGATTTCAATTCCCCGTTCTAACAGCAGCTTCTCTTTTTTCTGTTTCGAACAGATGACGGCGGCCACGGGATACACCAGGACGGTGAGTGAGCTTTGATTTCCACATAATTACACCGCTCGCGCGCGACTGGCTAGCCAGTCTCTCTCTCTCTATTTTGCCTTCTTCTTGCTCTGCTGGCCGCGCGGCTGACGAGCGGAAAAGTCGCGCGCGCGAGGAAAACGCTCTCGCGCGGATCAACGTTTATCGCGGACCGTTATCGACGCGCCGCGCGTTCCCGTTACGACGCGGCGATGGTAATTAAATACGGTGGAAGAGCGAGAAAGTTATCTGAAATGTCGGCTGCTTATCGGTATCGGGATCGATCGCGAGAGAGATCACCAATTATCTCGACGCGCGTGTGCTTACCGCTACCTGGACGCGCCTGCCTGCGCGCTCTCGCTCGCTCGATCGCTCAGGAACGCGCGCGAACGCACAGCCAGTGATTCAATCGGCGATATTGATAAAACGCGCCACCCTTTGAGCCTTATTAATCGTCGCGCGCCATCACGCGCCACCGAGTCTCACTGGCCCAAATCTGCGAGGAGGAGGCGCGACCGACGCCTTTCCGACATCGCCGCCGCGCCAGAGAGATTACGATTTACAGAAACAGCCAGAGAGAGAGAGAGAGAGAGAGAGGCACGTCGCACGACCAGGTGTTTCATCAGCGAATGAAATCCGCTGATTAGAGTCTCCGCGTTGCTTGCAGCCTCGCTTTGCGCTTCTCGTCGCCTCTCGGCTGACGAGAAGGAACTCGCCGTGTCCGAGCGAGCCCGCTCGCCGAAATGCGTCGTCGCGACGGGTCTCTCTCTCTCTCTCTCTCTCTCCCTCCCTCTCTCTCTCTCTCTCTCTCTCTTTTCTTGTTTCTCTCTGCCACTCGATCGTTTTCCACTCTCGGGCCAGACGGATCGCCGAGGGACGGGGCCGGCGCTCTTCCCGCCGGCGCGATGTTCGCGTATAATTTATGCCGATGACTTACACGGCCCGCCGCGGTAGGTGGGATGCGGCGGTGGATGGTAATCACGAGTTTAAAGGGTAAACGATCGCAAGGTGTTGGGGCCCCGGCGTGGGGCCCCTGGGCCTCGTCAGCGCGCGCTCAATATTCAACAGGTATTTACATTCGCAAATTGTTTACGTCAGCCCACGATGAAATCTGTCAGGGTTTCGTTCCGGCGGCAGCAGCAGCCCGACGGAGCTGCGCTCCACCGCATCCCACTCCCTCCTCCCTCTGTCCGTTTCTTCCACCCCCTCCCTGCCCCTCCTTCAGCCGCGCATATCACCTTCACCCCCCGTGTGTTCTTTTCTCCTCGTCGTCTCTACATTGTACTTCATCTCCGTTCTCGCCTTCCTCCCACACGAGCCTTCCTCGCACGTCGCGTCGCGCACCAGCGAGAGAGAGAGAGAGGAGAGACCGCGCCTGCCCTCTTCTCTCGCGCACGGAGCGCCCTCCCCTCCCTCCCCCCCCCGCCCCGAGGCGGCGCGTAATTACATCTGGATATTAATCAGGCGCACGTCGGCAACGGCCACGGCGAGGTCTTGATTCCCGGCCGGCGCGGCGTTTCGGCCATCGCGACGATCGACGGCCTGTACTTAGATTCGCCTTTGAGTCTTTGATTCGCGCGACCGCCCAATCCGATCCGGCCGAGCGAGGTTTGTCGTCGAGCAACAAAGTGCGCGCGAGTCTGCGCACGAGCGTGGAATACGGTATCGCGCGATACGGTATCTGCCGCGCGCGCGCGCGCGATCGCCTCGTCGTGTGTACCTTTGCGCGATTTTTCAGCTCGGCCCGCAAGATCGAGGCTACGGATAAGCCGGCCACCGGTCAAACGTTCGGTGCCAACGCGCAGAACCAGTTTACTTTCCTTAATGCCGGACGATTACGCGGGCATTAGAAAAAAGGGGGACAAGAAGGAAACGCGCGCGGCGAGCGCTATCCGCTCGGCCGAATCGCGCGCGGCGATCTCGCCTCGGAATCACACAGAGACAGGCACACGCAGGCGCGCACGGATACACAACAGCGGCTCTCTCGGGCAGCTCTCCTCGCTGCCGAGGTTTGCGCCGATCCCGCGCAGAATTCCAAATCTCCCGCGATGCGGATGTGCGCGCGCGCTCGCGCGTTTTGATAACGCGCGAGCGGAAAATGTGCCCGACCGATTCGCTCAAGCCAGGACAAGCCGCGTATCAATCCTCGCTTCCTGCGTCCTGCGCGTGGATCGCCTCCAACGACACTTGATCCCCGCGAGACGAAACTTGTATCCTCACACTTTTTGCTCCCTCTTACGTAATCTCGTTTCCTCCTGAAACATCTTTCTGCCGTGCAGCTTCTAATTCCGCCCCTGCCGCGGCGCTCTTGGAAGCTTGACCCCGCAGTGATGATAAACGCATCCACCCATCTCTCTCTCTCTCTCTCCCCCTCTCTCTCTCTCTCTCTCTCCTACCGCGGCCCGGCGCTATCGAGCCGCTCGGCGGGGCTCGGCCACGGCGGCAGTTTGCGCTCCTCTTCTTGCCGGGCTCCGACGAGAGCCTCGAGAGAGCCCGGAGCGGTGTGTGTTAACGTTTATCGCCGGTTATTAATACGGCGCGGATTACGCGTCGTAAGTAACGTCGTTCGCGCGCGCGCGCGCGTGCGTGCGTGCGTGCGTGCGTGCGTGCGTGCGTGCGTATAGCCGTACATACAGCTGCGGGCTCGCACAGTTACCTGCCCGGTCCTAATTATAGCGTAATACAAGCGCAACCACGTACGCCGGCGCGGCGCGGCGCTTACGTAATCCCGCGATAATGCGGCTCTCCGCGCGGAGAGTGCACGCGCTCTCTCGCGAGAGAGAGAGCGCGGTCGCGCTCTTACGCGCCTCTGCATACCTCGCCTGCCGATGGAAGCATTCGCCCGAGACTCTCTCGCGAGGCTGGCCCCCTCGAGCGATTACGTCCGCCGATTATCGCCGCGCGGCGACTTTGGAATCCCGAAGGATCAGGCTCGCCCGAGGGCGGCGGGGGGAGCGGGAGGACCCCGTCGGAGTCGCTTTCGGAGGACCACGAGAGAGCTCGCGGGACGCCTCGGGAGTTGGCAGTTGCGGCGAAATTTTGCGCGGCGAGACTTCCCGCTGTTATTAAGATCCGCGCTATAAGGATATGATATATCAAGGATATATATATATATATATATATCCTATAATAATTCAAGGAGCGCGCGATTCCGCGAAATCTCGTCGCTTTGACGTGCCAACGCGGCTCCCTCGAGCCGGGCACAGAACGGGGGAGGGGTTTCCTTATCTCCGAGATAGGGAGATTACCGACGACGATTAATTAAGATTAAACCGTACACTTTTTCTCTCCCCCCTCTCTCTCTCTCCCTCTCTCTTTTTCTCTATCGAGAATCCGCATGCCGCGGCTCTCCGCTCGCCTCTCCGGCGTGGCCGGCCGGACTTCGGAGCTGGTCACGCTTCGAATATGCAGATTAACGGCGGGGCTGGAATTAACGGGTCGGCCGTCGCGTCGCATTATTAATTCATTGATTCATTCGTTCGTTAATGAAACGCGGGCGACGCTAAGCTGGGAAGGTCGGCTGGAGAAAATACGGAGCGCGCGCGCGAGTCGTCGAATCGCGCGAGTTGGCGAGTAACACATAACGATAAAGAGTGGCTTAACGAGCTGACGTATCGCCGCGCCGGCTCGAATTCAGAGATATTATCTGCTTGATTTGGTTGCACGAGAGGAACGCAGGCACGACCCCGCGCGCGCGCGCGCGCGGGCGAGCGAGCGAGCGAGCGAGCGAGCGCTCTCCGCGCTCTCTCCGCGCCGCGCCTCGCCTCTCGCTTCGCCTCGCCATGGCGCGGATGCCACCGCCCCGTGTACGATTCAGGAAGCGAGGTCAGCACCCTGTGCGCGCCTCTTCTTCCTTTTCTCCCTTTCTCGCTTGTCCCGATTAGCCGGGAGTATACAGGCCGATAGCATCGAGCTCCGCGGCGGCGGCGGCGGCGGCGGCGGCGCGAGTAGCCGCGGCGATAACGCGCTATCGCGACTCCCGCGGTGAATCACCGAATGCACTTTGAAAGGTCATAATATTCTAATGCATCTCTGTTATCGATCCCCCACCTGCGCGCGCGCGCGCGCGCGCACGCGGGAAGGCCGACGGCCGCGGTGATTAACGACGCCGTGCGGATCGTAAATTGTGCCGGACGATATTTGAGTTATTAATTGCGCGCGCCGCGAGCGAGGAATTTCGGCCCGATGTATCGGTAGCTCTCTCTCTCTCTCTGTCTCTCTCTCCCTCTCTCTCTCGCTTTCAAGAGAGGATATTTTATCCTGAGGACGCGGACGCGCGAAAGATACGAGGCGGATGTCGGGAGCGCGCGGATTTATACATCGCGCGACTCGCTTGGACTCGGAACGTTTCCGAAGAGCGCGCGACCTGCGCCGAGAGGCGACGCTTAATAAGAATCCAAGAGCGCAGATTAATGAGAACGCGGGGGGGGGGGCGGGGGGGATTGATGTAGAAAGGTACGAGAACGCGGGGGGAACTTTCGCCCGATCAGAATTTGCAAGTCACGCGGCCGCGCAAGAGTCGAGGCAAAGTCCGGATGTTTTTCCGAGAGGAGAGCCGCGAGAGATTTAGAGTGCGATAGAGCGGAGGGAATAAGAAGATTGGTAAGAGGACAGGTTGAGGAGAATGAGAGCGTTAATGAAGAATACAGGGAAGCGCGAAGAAAGTCCCTCTCTCCCCTTCGATCGCCTCCGCGAGAGTAGATACGAGAGAGTAGCTGGGAGAATAGGAATATTAATAAGAATACGGAGTTTGAGGGTGCGGATTAATAGTAAGAGCGAGAAAGGACGACGCAGAGAAACAGCACGCGGAAGCGGCTCGCCGCGTTTCGCCGGAGCTGCAAACAAGTGCGACGATAAGGGAAGGGATTATCGACGAGGCAGCGCGTGTTGTCGAGAACAATGGGCGGAGTGAGTTGAAGCCGCGCGTGTCTGGCTCTCCCCGCTTTTTCCGCAAACTTTGCTTTCGGTTGCAAGCTTGGCATCAGCTGATCAGTTATCAAGAT